CACAAGTCAATATTCACTATTCCCATTTAATGTCAGAATATATAATTTGTACACATGTATAGTTCTTTATAATAAAAGTACTTTTGCCGGGCATGATGGCGCACGCCTTTAATCCCAGCACTTGGGAGGCAAAGGCAGATGGATCTCTGTGAGTTCCAGGACAGCTGGAGCTACAGGGAGACCCTGTCTCAAAAAGACCAAAAAAAAAAAAAAAAAAGTACTTTTTATCCAAAAGAAAAAAAGGGCTGGGCATGGTAACTCATGCCTTTAATCCTAGCACTCACGAGGCAGTGCCAGGCAGATCTCTGTGAGATTCAGGCCAGCTTGTTCTACATAGTGAGTTCTAGGCCAGCTGGAAATACAGAGAGACTTTGTCTCAAAAAACATACCTGTACCTGCCCCCCCAAAAGTACTATTTATTAAGACAGGATGACTTTATTCCAATAAGTTTTGTTTGATTTTCTGCGTTATTATAGCCTTTCATGTCTTTAAACTCGTTAAAGTTTGCAACCCTAAATCTATAGCAAATTTTCTGATACTAACAAACATGTTGAGTTCTGAGTTGACATTCATGATCTTGCAGGTAAAACCCAAGTTCATAGGTAGGACTGATAAGCAATCACTATCTTGTATGGGAAATTACTGAGGAATCCAGAGACTTGATAAATGTTAGGCTGTGTTCACAAGCCTTAAGTCTGTTCATGCTATCTCTCTTAAGGGCCCGTCAGTAAGGATGTGACAGTCTACAGCAGCAAGCCACATAAGCTTACACATCATCTTCATTTCCCATCCCATTGGAGCTGTGAGGGCCACAAACCTATCTGTGTTCAATTATATCTTATCTGTGAGCTGCAAAGATTCTAATTTCTACGGCTGACCCAGAATGTTTGACTGAGACAAGCCCCAATGGGTTGTTTCTTTCAAGAGAAATCAAGTCTTAAGTTTGCGGAAAACAGCCATTGTTGGATCAGTGGTGATAAAGCGAGGGATAAGAAAGAATAGTGCCTCTGGGAGAGTTTAAAAGGACCAAACGCAAAGCAGGGAGAACAATGCTCTCCACACGCATTTGAAGAGAGACTGGTCTGCCATCAAGAAGCTGGCATGAAGGGCTGTAGAGATGGTTCAGCTGCTCTTGGAGAGGACTGGGTTTCTATTCCCTATACCTACATGGCAGACAACACCCTTTTCTGGCCTCCATAGGCATTGCACACATGGGTACACTTACATATATGCATACAAACATTCATACACATAAAATAAAGATGTCAAAACTTTAAAAAAAAAAAAAAAACAAAATAAAAAAGCTGGCATGAGGCTCTGGAGTCCTACAGTCCTGCTGGTGACTGACTGTAGCTTGCTTCCCTGAAAAGGCACAATTTGGATGACAGTCTCACAGCATCCTAGATGCAAAAACAGAACTACCTTTAAAATAGAAATTGAATTCTACATTTTTGTAAAAAGCAGACCCAATGAATAAAGTTCCCCTATTCCCAAAATACAAGAATGGCTTACATATGCATACTTCAGAGCCTGGAGAGTGTACCCTTGTTAGGACCATCTTCCAAAGGACTAAATATAACTCTCAATAGCTGATTTATCTCTTACTTACAAACAGCGCAGAACTGATTTTCCTCTTATGACTTGCTGAAAGTGCAAGTAACAGCCATAGTCATGTGAGAAAGAAGTTTGAAGGCTGTCAATGTTTAATAGCATTTCTTGCTAGGAAATGAATATGAGTCAGCAAAACCAGCTTGGGTTTGCAAGGTCCAATCAGAGCATCTATATCTTGTCTCACACTGCCCTCTTCCTGCTGTTCATGTCCAACCAGAGCAAGAAGGAGCCTTGAGTTCTGGGTGCTTCAGGAATCCCCCACTGGGGAAATTTAAATGTAGACTCTGGAGAACATCATGCTATAGTGTTTATGTTAGTTTTCTTAAATGTAATAATGGCTGGGCGTGGTAGCGCACACCTTTAATCCCAGCACTCAGGAGGCAGAGGCAGGCGGATGGATCCCTGTGAGTTCAAGGCCAGCCTGGTCTACATAGTGAGTTGCAGGACAGCTGGGGCTACAGGCTACAGGGAGACCCTGTCTCAAAAAAACCAAAAAAAAAAAAAAAATGTGATAATGAATTCAGATTTTTTTGAGAAAACAAGAGATATCCTAAAATGACGCCAATGTTTTAATAATTAAGATGCTCCTGATGTCCATCATTATGAACTTACAGCAAAAGACTAGTTCCTGTTTAACTTTACTTCTCAGTATTTAGCTCAATTACTAAAATGGAGTTAATAAGCTACTTAAAATGGTTCATGAACCTCAAATAACAGTAAACTAGTTAAGCCAGTATCTTGATTTATTAACAGTGTATTTACAGTTAATATTAAGGTACTTGTTATTGAGCCTATTACTATTTTCCAACTTAAGAATTTTGTTTTATTAGATATATTCCTTTAGTATGTTCATAAAGTCATCTACCAATTCAGCATTTATTTCCCACAGAATTGTAACTATAAAAAGTTTCCACATCTCTGTGTCATGTCTAATAACCTTGAATAGAATCATGATGAGAAAATGCCAGGAATTAATAAATTACACCTACACTTGGGAAACTAGGGCCAAGGACTGTGCATCCAAAGCCAGCCTGGGCTACGTAATAAACTCCTGTCTCCAAATAATCTTTATAAAAAAAAGAAAATGTCAGGAATTTCAGAAATTCTCTCTTCAATCTTCAAGCCTGCTTTCCCTCTTTCTTCCTTCTTTCTTTCCTTCCTTTCTATCTTTGTTGTGAGCATGGTTGTGTGTGTGTGCGCCTGTGCATGCATGTGGAGGTCAGCGGTTGACAGCAGGTGTCTTCCTCTATTGCTTTCCCTTAGTTTTGGGGACAGGGTCTCTTACTGGAGCTCACCAATTGGCTAGACTGGCTAGCCAGTGAGTCCTGGGAATCATCCTGTCTCCTACCCCCAATGCTTTGATTAGCACCTGACATGCATTGCCACACCTGACTTTTTATGTGGGTGCTGGGTCCTTATGTTTGCATTTAGCCATCTCCCTAGCCCTCAAGACTTCCTCTATGCCCAGTCTTTTTTTTTTTCTTCCTTAGTTGCCATCAATAAGAAATTTACTTATTTTTTTAAAAATCCAAATGCTGGCATAGCCCAGAAACTTTTAACAGGTTTTTTAATAATTGTTATAAAGCTGAACTGTTCAAACTTGTTCACTGAAACATTCTACATCCTTCATTTATATTAAAAAATTCACACACAAAAGAAAATGAAAAACTGCCAATACCTGATTTCTGTCCCCTATTTTTGACTCACAATCATAAACGGGTACCTTTTGACCCCATGGAAAAAAATAACATTCAGAACTCCTGATAACAGGAAGAAGAGTTTAAGAACTTTTTTTTTTTTTAGAATGAAATGCTTCCTCTGGTAGTGGATTCTTAAGCACATTCTATGCCTATGCCGCGAGCTAGCTGGATATCTTTTGGCATAATTGTTACATGTTTGGCATGGCTAGCACGCAGGTTGGTATCTTCGAAAAGGCCAACCAGAGCAGCCTCACTTGCCTCCTGCAAAGCCCCAATAGCTGCACTCTGGAAGCGCAGATCTGTTTTGAAGTCCTGAGCAATTTCTCGTGCCTGACGCTGGAAGGGGGAGTTTGCGAATCAGAAGTTAGTGGACTTCTGACTGCGCCTGATTTCACAGAGAACCACAGTCAAGTCTGTAGGTGAAGTTTCTTCACCCCTCCAGTAGAGGGCGCACTCTCAAAAGCGGCTTTTGTAGCCAGTTGTTTTCTGGGTGCTTTACCACCAGTGGACTTGGGGGCAGCCTGCTTTGAATGAGCCACGTTATAGACGCCTCCTTCATTACCCCCCACACTGCCCACGCTATTTTTGCATCGTACTTGATCCCTCACAGTCCTGTCTCACCTCTGCTAACACTGTCCTGGGCCAATCTGGTACAGGAAACTTCTGACTTTTGTAGAGTCTATCTAGCAGCACTTGAATAAACTTGTAAAGTTTTTATTCTATTTTAATTTTTTGTTGTTGTTATGGCTATTATTTGGCTTTGAGACAGGGTCTTACTATATAGCACAGGCTGACCTCCAACTTGTAGCCATCTTCCTGCCTCTGCCTCTGCCTCTGCCTTCTGAGTACAGGTGTGTGCCATCACGCCCAGTTTTCCTTGCGTTTGTATTATTACACCATCTGGATCTGAGGGCAGGCATTGTTTTTTTTTTTTTTTAAATCACATTGCTTTGCATATCATAAACACTGTCATAACTGTCGATCGACTTCAAGTAAAATTATCTATTTTAAAAATAGGCAGAAAACTCTTTTAAGTCTCAACAGGCAATCCCACAAGGGCCTGTCTGGAATGACTGAAAATATAGCAAGTATTGTTATGTGCTCTAATTAAAAATTTCTGGGCCGGGGGTAGTCGCATTTGCTTTTAGTCTCAGCCACTGGGCAGCAGAGGTAGTCAAGAGGTAAGCGCATCTCTGTGAGATGGAGGCCAGCCTGGTCTCCAACATGAACATGAGTTCCAGGCCAGCTGGTGGCTACAGGGAGACCCTGTCTCAAAAAGCAAAAAACAACAACAAAATTCTAACGCAACTCAGAAGAACACTTACCAAATTCAAAGCTCTGAATATTCCTTTAAAACATTTGTAATATACCTGTATTGGAGGATGCAGGAGCGAAGGCATGTGGGGTATGCACAACATAGGAACGCTAAAGCCTCATCCTCCATAGTAACAAGAACTAGATTGTGTGTGTGTGTGTGTGTGTGTGTGTGTGTGTATGAGTGTATTGCCTGCATGTATGTGAGTGCACCTGTGTCGTGCAATGCCACAGAGACCAGAAGAGGGCTTCAGAGTCATCTGGAACTGGAGTTAAGGATGGTTTATAGCCTCCATGTGGGTGCTGGGAATCGAACCTGGGTCCTCTGCAAGAGCAGTCAGGGCTCTTAGCCACTGAGCCATCTCCCCAGCCCCAGGAACTAGATTTTTAATATCAAAAATTTAATGGAATTTCCCATTCATTTTGTTTAGTTTTCCAAGGAATTTCAATATGGAGCCATCACTGATCAAAAAGTTATTTAGAGGACCTGGTCTAGAATTCAGATGTTCTCTGGGTATGGGTATAGGCCACTTATTTTTCCAGAGTCTTAGTTTTTCTCATTTGACAAATACAAGTATTAATAACAATAATTTGGAATTAAAGGAAAATCTTGAAGATCATTGTGAAGTATAAATAAATGAAATACGAACGTGTAAAGAGACATACCAATAGAATGCAGTACATGTCAGCGGTACTAGCACAGAAGAAAGGTTCATTCTGCTATGGGCGAAAAGACTTCATGAAGGGAGAATGTCTCAAAGATGGCTTATAGAAGAGGAAGAGTTCAAAAAGAAGGAGGGCTTTGGTAGAAGTTTTTATTTTATTATTGATGCCAGGCCTTCAGCATGGTAAATATATATTCAATCACTGGGCTATACACTCAGCTTATTTTATTTTATTTTCAGATTTTATTTATTATTTTTATTTTATGTGTATGAGTGTATTGCCTGCATGTATGTGAGTGAACCCATGTCATGCAATGCCACGGAGGTCAGAAGACGGCTTCAAATTCCCCTGGAAATGGAGTTAAGGACAATTTGTAGCCACCATGTGGATGCTGAGAATCGAACCTGGGTCCTCTGCAAGAGCAGCCAGTGCTCTTAACTGCTGAGCCATCTCTCCAGCCCCAGCTTATTTATTTTTAAGTAAAATTTTTTTTCAATTCTTAAAAAAAGTTTTTACATTTATTTATTTTGTGTGTGTGCACCAGTGTGCATGTGCCACAGTGCGTGTGTGGTCATCTTGCGGGAGTTAGTTCTCTCCTTCTACCATGTGGATTCTGGGGACTTAGATAACTTAGGTTATCAGGCTTGGCAGCAAGTGCTTTTACCTGCTGAGCCATTTCACCCCCCACCACCAACAATATTTTATATACTAGAAAATTGCTGAAGGAGTAGATTCTAGGGCCAGGCACAGTGGCACATACCTTTAATCCTAGCACTCTGGAGGCAGAAGCAGGTGGATCTCTGTGAGTTCAAGGATGGCCTGGTTCAAGGACATCAAGTTCCAGGCCAGCCAGGGTTACATAGTGAAACCCTGTCTCAAAAAACTAAAATGAAACCAAGACAACAAAAGAGTGGATTCTAAGTGTGCATGCCATATAAACATATGTAATGCATATGTTAGTTTTAATCATTTGATGTATACATATTTCAAAATACTGTTGTATATCATAAATATATACAATTTTTTGTATCAATTTAAAAACAAAGGAAGGAGCTGTCATGGTGGCACACGCCTTTAATCCCAGCACTCTGGAAGCAGAGGCAGATGGATTTCTGGATTGAGGCCAGCCTGGTCTACATACTGAGTTCCAGGTCAGCTGGGGCTACAGGGAGACCTATCTAAAAAAAAAAAAAAACAAAAAACAAAAACTAAGGAAGGAGAAGAGGAGGAGGAAGAAGAGAAGGAAAGGTGGTGAGATGGTGTTGGTGGTGGTGAAGGGATCCATCCAAATACAAAAGTCTTGCGCTGGCCAAAGAGTTAAAGGCAGAGAGGGACGGAGGGAGGGAGTAACCAAATAATGGAGAGAAGATGCTCATCTTGGTTGACAGAGCATCAAACAGAGGCTTAAAGGTACTGTCTGAAATAAAAGAAATGACTGGTGGAGGAGCATAGACTGATGATAAAATTATATTGAGAGGAAGGAAGTGGGACATGGACATGTGAGTTGCATTTGCATCTATCATGAATATCTAAACCAAGAAGCAATGCATTTGAGGAGGCAGAGAGATTTTAAGAGTCTTAGGGAGGAAGTGCATGACCATATGGAAATGGAGTCTTACAAGCTCCTGGGACCTTGCTCATGTGAACCTCCAGCAATGGTGTCACCATACACAAGTCCCATGCAAACTCAAGACAGAAAACCAGCATAGAACTGGGGAAACAGCAGACCCCAATCTTAGTCAAAGAATTATTGACAACTGATTACTGCTGGGTAAGGAAGAGGTTTTTATGTGTATTCGTGTATTGCCTGCATGTAGGTAAGTGCACTCATGTCATGCAATGCCCATGAAGGTCAGAAGAGGCTGTCGGATTCCCTGGACTGGAGTTACAGGCAGCTGTTAGCTCCCATGTGGGTGCTGGGATTTGAACCTAGGTCTTCTGCAAGAACAACCAGTATTCTTAACCACTGAGCCATCTCTCCAGCCCCTAGACCCCAGTGGATGAACTTGCACTGAGGGAGATCTGGGAACACTAACTTGACATGATAGGCCTCAACACAAATGACAGAATGTATCCAGTGGTGTGGGGGGCTATGAGAGGATGCCAATGGAGAAGGGGGTATAAAGATGATTAAGATTGATTAAGATGTTCTGTATGAAGTACACAAAAATTCAATAAAAAATTTATAAAAGGAAAAAAAAGAAGCAATGCGTTTGGAGATGTCATGGTAACCACAAGGAGAGCTGATGACAGAGACAGTTAAAAGTTGCCCCTGGAGCACAGGTGAAAGGACGCCATGAGAAATTAGTCAGATCCAGTGTGCAGGGCACTCCATGGGATGACTGACAGCATGTCTCTAGCAAATCAATGGCGTGGGGGAAATTAAATTATAGAAGAAATGACATCTAGGAAACAAACAGCCAAATGCAGTATGGGAGAACAGCATTGGGATCCTTTATTAGAATGGTTTTTGGGTACTCAGAAAAAATATGATTATTAACTGAATATAAAATGTAAGTAAAACTGTTGCCAGGTGTGGTGGCACAAGCCTGTAATCTGAAGCAGAAGA